GTGGAAAGGGGAAGGGGAACTGGGGAAGAAGAGAAAAGGGAAGAAAGGAGAGGGACGAAGGAGTAGAAATGGTCACAATTCAATATGTATTATATACCAATTTCCCAAGGTAAATATAATTATTAATATACTAATGAAAATGGAAAAGAGAATATCTTCAATATGAAACGTGATATAAGAATTTTCTGATACATGACTTCATATATATTAAAAAACAGCTGGGTGTGATGGCACACACTTGTAGTCTCAGCTGCTTGAGAGGCTGAAGTGAGAGAATCATTTGCACCCAGGAGTTCTGGGCTACAGTGCGCTATGCTGATCAGATTTCTGCAACAACTTTGGCATCAATGTGGTGACTCCTGGGAGTGGGGGAACAGCAGGTTGCCTAAGGAAGGGCGAAAGGGCAAGGCCAGAAACAGCAAGTCAAAAAAAAAAAAAAAATGCAACATCCATGACAGACTATCATTTCTAATTAAAGCAATGCCTGATTTCTCCAGACCACAGAAAGATGAATGCAATGTTCCTCTAGGCACATTTTCCCGGATCAAAGATTTCCAAATCTGCTCCTGTGAAGACACCTGTGTGTTCCTGGAAGCACTGCACACTCTGGAGACCACAAAATACTGCTACAACTTTCACCACACCACTTAGAAACAATTTAAGTAGGGGAAAAGACTATATTATATATGCACGTAATCACAACTAGGAAGCACTCATTTTGATATATTTTATTACCTGCTGCACTAAGGCAATAAATATTTCTATCAACTCCTAGTTATTTGCTTAATCATTTTCTCATCAGCTAGTGCTTATCAGTGCTTAAGGAGTAGCAAATACCACAGAAAATAAATTATGGAAACAAAAATTTAAGTGGAGATAATGCTGCCCATCGTCTTTAGTGTACACTTTCAGAGCAGAGAAAGGAATTACACATTAGAAAAATCAACATTATTTTAAATACTATGCTAGGGCTCACATCTGATTAATCAATGTACCAAGCAGTGCAGGTGCTTTTCTGTTAATTCAAAAAACAAACAAAGAAAACAAGATTTCAGGACAGTAAGGAGAGTGGGTAAGGTCACCCAACTGCAAATGACTAGGACTAACTAGCTCTAAAATCAATCTTCTTTTCCTGATACAACGCCTCCTCTTCCCCCAAGTGAATACAGATTAACCTTACAGCAATGGTTTTCAAACCAGGCTGCGTATTACAATCCCTTCGAGAAGAAGCCCTACTACTTGTACAGTATTTGTTAAAGATTCTCAGGTGATTTAGACAATGACAATCAATTCTTTAATGTCAAAGTTAACAAATTATTAGACAATGTCACAGAAGTTTTAAGAAAATACAGAGACCTGTTTACCACTGTAGAAATTGTAGAAATTCAGCAGTACCAAGTCTATTTTTAATACATTTCCTCTCCCTTGCCTCACTGTCCGATGGCGGGTATTGATTATTGTCATCTGTGTGCCTGCATCTACTGACATCTCCTCTTCCACCTTCCACCATTCTAATTCACTGTTATCTGCTGTGCTGTGAGATAAGAGAGCCATGCTAATTAAAAACATATATAAAAGAGAAGCAAGAAGGCTTTATGTGACAATCTTTTATCAGTAAAATACATGAACTTTTAGGACATGAAGTTAGTTGATATCAAATGTGGCTATTACTCATAGGCCTCTTCTGATTACTTTCTGATTCAGATCTTTGTTCCTAATTCTTGTTTGTGCAGTTTCCGATTCCTTGTTCTTGACTCTACACAGCTGTATGTAAGCTGTTATGTAACTAGGAAATAATTATTCCTTCAAGTCTGCCTCCCTTCTTAGAGTATGAACTCTGAGTTCAGGAGCCACATTTTATTCATCCTTATACCCAGTGCCTAATACAGTGTCAATGTTTGCTTCCAGATGCTGTCAAAAGTTTAATAACCTTTATTAACTAACGAGTTCTAGGTTATATGGCTGCTTAACCAGAACTTTACAGGGAAGTAGGACTTCAGTAATGCCATCACAGTGCAACAATCTGTGTGTTCCTAGGGTCTATGGCAACTTGTTTTAGTTAATTCAACCTAAAAAGTATATACTGTATCTGGTCACTAGAGGTACACTGCGAGGATGTAGCTCAGTAGTAGAGTGCTTGCCTGCCTTGCATGCATGAGCTCTTTGGTTCAAACCTCAGTATCCCGCCCTCCTCTCCAAAAAGAACTATCAGACAACTCTGTCACACATACTGTCCAAATGCTTTTTTACTTTTCTCCATCCATGTTGTGCCACCTAAATTCAGGTCATTATCATCTCTACTAAAGTACCCTAATTAGTCTTCTTTCTTTATTTTTTTTTTATTCCTCTCCAATGCATTTTCCACAATGCCAACAAAGAGAACTTTCTTTAAAAATCAATCAGATCATATAATTCTTCAAAATCTTTCCTCTACCCTTAGGATATCTAACCCTCCAAAATGGCTTAACAGGGAGGGAATTTAACTCAGTGGTTCCGCCACCATGCCTCAAAAGCATGCATGGCTTAACAAACTCAAACTGATCTACCACTCCCGTTTACTATTCACTTTCTAATAGCTCTCTATCCATATTAACTAACCATAACTAGACCATGCTGTCTTCCAGTGAGAAACTGTGCTCAGTAGCATTAAAAAATTCCAATAAAGCTAAGCATGGTGGTACCTGCCTATAAACCCAGGACCTAGTAGGCTGAGGCAGAAGGATGTCAAATTTGAACACTGGGCAGTTTAGCAACTTAATGAGTCCTGGTTTCAAAATTAAAAATTTAAAGGGCTGGGGATATAGCTCAGTACAAAAGCCTGAACTATATAGTGACACCCTGCATCAAAAAAACAAAAAAACAGGGCCAGGGATTTAGCTCAGCAGTTCAGTGGCCTGCTTGCAAGCACAAGGACCCGAGTTCAATCCTCGGTACCAAAAAAAAACACAAACAAACAAACTTTTAAAGACATATGAACAAGACTGGGCATGGTGGCATCTACCCATAATCCCAGCATTCAGGAGGCTGAGCCAAGAGTACTGCCATGATTTTGAGGCCAGACTGGGCTACAGAGTGAGTTGAAGGCCAGCCTGAACTATCTAGTAAGACATGTCCACCCTCAAAAAAGTACATGATAGAACTGCTACTAGAAAAAATGGTTGAAAACATAAGCCTCTTGAAAAAAAGTATCAGATTCTCTATTTCCTGGTGCCTAACAGAACCTGCACATACAGGTTGCTAAGTAAATATTTATTTAATTAATTAATGGCAAAAAATAAAAAGAAAATGATAAATTCTTAGGACAGAACAACCCAGAAATAAACTTTATTTTATTATGCATGTGCCCCACTTCCAACCAAAAAAGATTCAAGAAGAGTCGCTAGAGGATTTGGGAAAGTTTCTTCATCCTTAGAATGACATGCTCCTCTGTCTCTTACAGGTCATGACTGAGGATGTAAGCTGCCCTGGCTGCCATGCCTGCTACTTTGCAACCATTAAATAAGCTGACAGAGTGGATAACAGAATAAGGCCAAGATTCCCATCCTCCTAGCCAATGTTGAACTTGTGGTCCCTGGATCCTAGCTATGTGAGCCAGTAAACTATTTTTTTAATAAAGTCAGTTTAGGCTCTTACTTGCACCCCAAAGTGTGCTAATGAATACATATCTGAGAAGCAATGAAGAGAAAATACTTCTAAAAATAAAAAATGTGAAAATCATATTGAAGATGATTCATACAACATGCCATCATTTAATTTTGTAGCCTCAGCAGAAACCAATCTCAAAAAGGTAGCAAAATCAACTTGTACAATAAAATATAAAGAAAATAAAAGGTTTTCTGTGCAATTAGTATGGCATTGAATGTATATGAAATAATTCAGATGTATTATCTACAGCAAAAGTTATTCAACTTTTACTGGACAGAATAAGGAGTAGGTTAAACACTACAGAAGAAAATACTAATGAACTTGAAAGTACAGCAATAAAATATCCAGAATGAAATACAGAGAGAAAAAAAAGAATAGTATATTACAAATATATATATATATATATATCATTGGAGTACCAAATGAGAAGTGGAAGAGGACAAAAAAATGTATGAAGAAGTAATGATCAAAAA